TTCTAACTCAGTCAACTTATGACAATTGGCTTGAGAATCTGGGCGGTAGGTTCGGCCAGCCATTCTGTCGGAAAGAGTCGAATATGGTACATTGTAGATCTTTGCCGCAGAGCGTTTGCTTAGTTTTTTGGACGACCGAATAGCCTCGATAGCTAGAGTAATTCGCGCTTCTTGAGTTTGAATTTCCATGGTAAATAGTTGAAGAAAACGTGTGTTGAAGTTTGAGGAGGTAGTGCCAAGGACAAGTGATCGACTCGGTGATATGATCGACTCGCTGATAAACCACGTTATATACTTTAGTTAAATATATATAATATAAGTTACTTGAATTTTGCTTTTATTTTGAAAGTCTTTATATAATCTTTACTTAATCTCGAACGTATAATAAGTTTATATAAAGAAAATATATTTTACTTATATTTTAAGTAATATTAATAAATTAATAATATAACGTAGTCCACAAGCGAGTTGGATTCCCAAGCGAAATGGATTTTTTTTCTTGGCACTCCACAAACTTATTCAGAGCGCGTTTTTTCTTAACAAACAAAATGGTTAAGCATTGGACAGAGTCTGATATGATTCTTGCGTTAAACACGCTTCGTACGAACCCACATTTAAAAGTTAAGAAGGTTGCGCGGATCTATAAAGTACCTTATACGACATTGCTTAATCGAACTCATGGAATATTATCACGACAAGATTCTATCGCTAAATCTCGAAAAATTACAGAGATTGAAGAAATAGTTATCGTACGACATATTCTCGACCTAGATTCTCGATCATTTCCCCCACGAGTACGTTGTGTTGAAGATATGGCGAATCGTATCCTCTCGGAGCGGGGTGCAGGACGCGTTGGCAAGAACTGGACTTCGAACTTCGTACGACGACAACCTGAACTTAAGACGCGTTTTAATCGAAGGATTGATTATCAAAGAGTCCAATGCGAAAATCCAGACGCGTATAACGCGTGGTTTCGCCTCGTACGAAATATAATTGACAAATATGGGATTCAGGAGGAGGATATTTATAACTTTGACGAGACTGGGTTTTGTATGGGCCAAATTACATCAGAAATGGTTGTTACAAGTACCGAAAGGCTTTCTCGGCCTCGTACAGTACAGCAAGGAAACCGGGAATGGGCAACAGTAATTCAAGGTGTTGGGTCGTACGGCTTTGTAGTGCCTCCATATATCATTTTGGCGGGGAAGAACCACCTCTCCTCCTGGTACGAAAACAGCCAATTACCACGCGACTGGGTAATTGCTGTAACTACAAATGGCTGGACAACAAATGAGCGAGCCCTAGATTGGATTTTTCATTTCGATCGGCATACAAAGCTTCGTACGAAGGGCATTCACCGGCTGCTTGTGCTTGATGGCCATGAAAGCCACCACTCAGTCGATTTTGAGCTTTTTTGTAAGAGTAATAACATTATTACTCTTTGCATGCCAGCTCATTCCTCTCATAGACTCCAGCCACTCGATGTAGGATGTTTTCGAGCGTTAAAAAGGTCGTACGGTGCTGAACTTGAGAAATTAATGCGACTCCACATTACATATGTTTCTAAGGAGGATTTCTTATCAACATTCTATACTGCCTTTCGTACGACAATGACTGAATCAAACATTCGAGGAGGATTTCGAGGATCTGGCTTAGTGCCGTACGACCCAGATTCTGTGATTTCACAGCTTGATATACGTCCAAGGACTCCGTCACGTCCATCTACCTCAACAAGCCTCCTAGCTATTTGGGAACCAAAGACCCCAAATAACATAACAGAGGCATATTCCCAGACGTCATATATACAAAACAAGGTCGTACGACACCAAGATAGTTCTCCGACCCAGATTCTATATGGCCTAGACCAGCTTGCAAAGGGTGCACAGCGTGCAATCACTGAGGTAGCTTTATTACGAGCTGAGAATGCTACACTTCGTACAGCAAATGATCAACTTAGTCGGCGTCGTCGTACGAAAAAGCGCCGATTACAGGAAGGAGGATCACTTACTCTCCAAGATGCGCAAGATTTAGGGGTCCTTAGTAATGTTGATTCGCAAGAACAAGTGGTTTTAGTAGAAAATAGTAATTGTACGAGCCCGAGTCTAGTACCTCGCCGGCGCTGTGGACTATGTGGGAAACATGGCCATAACATACGAACTTGTCAAAAAGGAGAAGAAATATGTGAGGATTCCGATTCTGAATACTGTAATTAATTTACTTATTGTGTCGTGAGATATTGAAGAATTTATAAAATGCCAAGAAAAAAAATCCATTTCGCTTGGGAATCCAACTCGCTTGTGGACTACGTTAGTATAAGTATTATAAGTAATCTTAACTTTTCTATCTAGTATACTATATTTTATAGAAGGCGCTAGTTCTACCTCGGATAATTCTAGCTAGCTAAATAGCCTATATATTAAAGCCTCTCTTACTTCTAACGAGCTTCTTTCTTAACTACTTACTTTATTATTATTTCTTTAAGATAGTAATATTCTTTCTAGACTATAGTTTTATAGAATTAAATGTACCCTCGGAGTAAATATAAGTAGATAAAAAGCTACGTAGTTAAATAAAGGGTTAACTAATTAGGAACGTATCTTAGCTAGCTAAACAACTTTGTTTACGAGGCAGGTATTATAATAGTAGACTCTTTTACTCCACTTCGCGTGTACGTTTCATTTTATAACTGTGTAGACTAGAAGGGGTATATAGATCTAGTTTTTTGAGTTTGCGATTTCCTATCAAAGCTGTTAGACTAGTTAGAATAATACCTAGGATCTTAACGGAGCTTGGTTGACTTGCTTGGAACTACTTATGTAGTCCTGTTGTTAAGTACTAAGACTTGAAATGGCCAATTTCAAAATCCAGATGTACATATGCCACCTTGATGGGATACTACGTACTTGTTACTTAACACTTGAAACTTTCTCTTACCCTTTACAAACATGGGCCGTCTAAAAATGGGAACGAACCTGCTCCGCTGACAGCACCCACGAACAACTTGGTGACACAAGATACTACAGAGATTAGGTCCAAATCAGAATCCCCTTTCCCTCTAACTACAAACACGAGCATAGATCATAATCTCTTGATCTGGAAAGAAGAAATAGTTCCAAATTCACCATATCAGAGGAGTTTAGTAGTCAGACTACTGTACCCAGGCCACGAAGAAAAATCAAGAAAGAATTGGGCGGAATCGGCTTTTGATAGAGGAAAACCCGAAGACGATATAGAGGTCACGCAACACTATGTGGTATCCCGGCTTTTAGTACATCCAGGATATCGTAACCGGGTAGAACAAGTCATCTCGGTATAACCTGTGGAATTAGTCTTCAATTAGACATGCAAGAATAAGATAAGGAACTTCCAAACTACCAACCTCGCAACCCCTACCGATTGTTCCCCTGCGAACCCTTTAATTGTTTCCCTAAATACTCACTCCTACGGAACTCACTTCCTTATTTTGGACCAAGCCCCACGAGTTCCTTGTCTGTCGCTGACAGAAGCGATACTTCATTCTTTGGGGAATTGCTTTTCATTTCTTTTGGCGTGAACGTATTATATAGTTACCGTGAAATAGAAAGAAACCGGAGCTAATTTGGGTTGGATTACTACCCATGAAGAGTCTTATATTTAAGCAATGCACAGCGTCACCAGCTTTCCACTTGCTTTATGGCGCTGAAGGTACTGCATTATTATGGCAATAGATAAATAGATATAAATAGAAATAGAAAGACATCAATATATGTAATAAGATACAAGAATATACTTACAAAGTGTTACCTAAAGATAATCAATAGTAGTGGTTTGTAGTGAATGAGGAAGTGCGGGGAATATATTATATTTCCCTTCTATTGTAACTCCTCAACTATTAACACCACAACATTATCGTCAGTCACACTATTGGAGCTCTTTTCTCTCAGCATTGCTCTCTACCACAATAAGCCAGTAAATTCTTCTCATGCCCCCTAAAAAGAGAGGTCTTGCCTCGGTCCGCAAGGGCAATTTGACGAAGGCGGCAAATCGAGCTATTCGGCAGGTGGAGGCGGAACTTCGCGATATGGCAGAGCTTGAGCGTGCTCATCGTGCGAATGAAGCAGGAGCCGCAGCGAGAACAGAACTCCAGGCTCGATATGACGCCGAGGATGCTGAAGAGGCACTTGGTGCTAATCTTCGAGGTCGTCACGTTGTGCCAGCTCGCCGCTCGGCCTCCCCTCGTCGTGAGAGAGTTGTTCAACCTGAGCGAGTTCAACCTGATCGAGTTCAACCTGAGTAAATCCACCGACCTGAGCAATCCGGTGCGGCGGATATTCAACAAGGTGGTCAACAAGGTGGTGTTGGTGGTGGAAATAATAACTTCTACCCGGGTGAATTTGGTCCTCAACAAGGCGGATCTGTACAGGATCAACAAGGCCGTTTCCAACAAGGTGGTGGTGTACAGCCTCAATTCTCTAATCAACCTCCAGGATTCGGCAGATACGGTAATATGGATCCACAATCTGGTGGCTTTGGTGCTCAAGGCGGATATAATCCTTTTATTCGTCAGGGGGTTGATGTTTATGGCAATCCTGTAAGCGATCAGTTTGGACATATGGTGCCCGGAGGCCAAGGTTGGCAAAACCAAATGGGCGCTCCGCAGCAAAATTTGGGCGCAGGTGTCCCGCTCCCTTTTCAACAACAAGGTCAAGGCCATGGCGGTCCCCAAGGAGTCTGGCAGCATCAACCAGGCCAATGGATGGGACCTGGCCATGTAAATTTGGGTCAAGGAGGCCAAGCTTTCGGAGCTGGTCAGAATCTGGCTGGAATTCCTGGAGCGGTGGGATTCCCAAACAATGCACCAGCCGGCAGTCAATTGCTAGGAGATAATGGTGCGTTGCCCCCTTTCATTATGCGAGTTGTGGACACCCTCCCCCCAGAGCATCAGAAGTATATTGTCCAGATTGCCAAGGGTACTTTCAAGCTGTCGGATCTGCATTTGCTCGACGAGGCAAGTCAATGGTTGGAGGAGGACAAGGGTGTTATTTCCTTCAATCGTGAGACAGGTACTTGGTATATTGGAAAGAAGAAGTCCGTGAAGGTGTATGGTACTAATCCTTCCAGATGGCAACGTTGTTTTATCAACTACCAGGCATACGTCCTTGAGCTATACGCCCCATTTTATCCCGAGGCTCGCCTCCCTTTGCAACTGAGCACCTTCCTCAATTCGGTCTTGCGATTGGCAGAGGTTTGGATTTGGAACGAGGTCATCAATTTGGCGTTGTTCTGGCACGATCGAGTGGTTGCTCGGGGTGGTCTTCGCGGTCTCCATGGTTGGAAGATTCCGGACACTTGGATTAGCAGATACTGCCGTACCAAGAGATGTAAGGAGGGAGGCTCAGGTCGAGGTGGAAAGGGCAAGTACAAGGACGAGAAGGCGAAGCAACTCTGTTACAAGGAGACGAAAGGCTCTGGTTGTACTGACCCAGCGTGCGTACGAATCCACCCGGAGGGTAAACGCTTGAGTAAAGGTGGTAAAGTCAAGGAAGAGAAAAATGAGTAAGGTTTTAGCGTAGGAGAACAAGTTCGGCAGATAGTACAGGATCGCCAAAACACCCCTCGCTAAGTACTCGCTGTGCTGTGTAATAGCGTGGGCTAGCGTCCTTTAGAACTATGTGTTTTTTCTTTGCTGTGTCCCTATTTTACTCCGTTACTATTGAGATTTGTGCTTGTTATTAGCTCTGTGCCTATTTTGAGATAGTTTTACTACTCCCCTTATAGGAACGTGAGGCTGAGAGCGCTTTATCCTTTAGTTATTCCACAAAATGGAGCCTTATGATTGGTCCATATGTGGAGAAGTATAGATGTTTGAAGCTAGCCAGCAAATACAAAACAAAACCAACAATAAGCCTCTCATCTGACATGTGACGAATGGACGATAAAACAGGAGTTTATTTCACATAAGTGACTCTCAAGCATTGTGAGTGCTTTTTTGGTAGCAGTTGGCACAGCACAAAGAGAGAACTCAGTTAGACGGGCAACCGCTAGCTGCTAGTACATCCGAGAGCCTTCTATTCATCAAAACTTCCTATGAGATGCTCCCATACACTGTAGCCAACCCTCCACGCTACATGTAGCCCATTCGCTCTATAGTGACCTTCGCTTTCTCAAAGCTAACCTCTTTAATACGAATAGAATAACATTTATATATTGGATTACTACAATCACAGAGAAAGGTAGCGCATCTATATCACTAGTATTGAGAAGAAATTAGTAATAGAGTAGGGAAATAGTATGTTTAGTTAATCTTCACTATCGTTCATAGTTTACTAGTACCTTAAAGTAAGTGAATCCTATATTACTACTTAGCTCAGACATAATACCACGTTTTCCTTTATTAACAAGATTCTGCTTCAATGTATAACCTTAGTTAACGGGACAAGACACCTTGCCTTTCTCTAGTTCAACAAAACCTTGGAGAGCAGTTCTAAACCAGAGTATGTAACATTACTCTGCTATTTCTACGAAATGCTAAACACTAAACTTACCGCCATGACAATAGAAAGCCCACTTGAGTATATTTGTAGCACTAAAACCTTTATATAAATGCTTATCTATATATGCGAAAAACTACCAATCTATGCTTTTTACACCTTGGAGCTGCTTATAATTTACTGAAATGCAACGAGTATTTGAGTACAGCTTAATTAATACAATATAGATTAGGCTAGGATGAGGGCGATAAAGAGATTAAAATTATTGGATTGAGCGACTTGGTATAACATGGCTATAATGATGAGATTGTGGTGGTAAGAACTTGAATCTCCTATGGACGAGTGTGCGGCCCATATGCTATGGAAGAACACAGCAGTAACAAAACCCAACAGCATACTTTGATAGACAGTAGTCTAGACAAAATAAGGAGCTGAATATAAATGCTAGGAGTAAAGTTGTTTATATTGTACATAACTAACCGTTTGAACCCTGTCCAATGTCCCCTATGATGGAAAGCTCGGCTAAACCCGATCCCAGATTTTCAGCTCTCATTTCCACAGGAGTTTCCAATGACCACATCAGTCGTACAAAGATACGCCATGATCATCCCCACAACCCACCATTTACACAAGAGCTTCTAAATTAGGGGATTGAGGTCATTCAATTGTCTTCTAGAACATATTATGGAAGCGATCTTCTTGCTACACATACACATACACCACAACTCAAGATGCGTACAGTACTACAACCTAAAAACAGAACGGAGAAATCAAGCGCAATACAAAATTAATCAAGAAAGACTTTCCTTTCTGGAAATGTAAAGAAACCACGTGCTTCAGCTACGCAATAGGGAAAGAAGTGGAAATTACACCCCAACTCTCGGCTGCCAAGTGACAGACGACGGTTCCTGCAGGATCCCAACACCCAGATCTCACTCCTGAGGGATGCAAGGCTGAGAAAAATCACTTACACCAACACCAACAAAATCGCACAAATCAACCAGCCGATTGAATATGACAGAACTCGCTTCTTGGCAGCTGTCACACGAACATCTTCCCCGGGTTTGGGGGGTTGTGGATATTATGTTGCTTATTTTAACTTGGTCCATGTTGTAAAGTCGGGCTGGGGATTTTCCTTACTCAGGGAGGAGGGTATATAAGAGCTTGTTGGAGTCGAATTGAGGAGAGAGACAAGGACGACAAGTTCATTCTTGCAACAGTTTGAGGTTCTGAAATGGTTCCCACGGTAGCTTCTTCGATTGTTGCTTTCCTCCTTTTGGTTGCCCCCAGTCTCGCGGCTCCGGGGACGACAGGATGCGAGATTAATAGTAATCAGAAAGGAGTCTGTATGGCAACGGGCTCTTGCAAGAGTTCGGGTGGGGTTTCAGAGGCGGGTCATTGTCTGGGTGGTGTTGATAACCAGGTTTGTTTTCTGGAATATTGGGTGATGGTGAGAAACTGACGAAGAAAGTGCTGTACCTATGGTTCTTGTGCCGTGAGTGGAACGGTTGGTATCTGCCAGCCGACAAGTGGATGTCAAGGTACCAGTACAGCGGGACATTGTCCAGGCCCAGCAGATATCCAATGCTGTACCAAGAAAGCGGCAACGCCTGCTCCTGCTCCTGCGACAGCACCGGCACCAAAACCGAGTGGTGGGAACTGTGCGAATCCTACGGTCAATGAAGCGACTTTGAAACTACTTCAGAGTTTTGAAGGATGGTATCCAAATGCTTGTAAGTATGCCTTTTAACAAACATAACATTCGAGAGAGTCTGATGAAAACCACAGATAAAGACCCAGATGGAAACCCAACCATAGGATATGGACACCTCTGCTCCTCAGCCTCCTGCTCAGAAATCAAATACAAAACCCCCCTCTCCAAAGCAGACGGCGACAACCTAATGCAAGATGATCTCTCGGTTCGTCATCACCACCTTCTCCCTACATCTCCCTCCCCCTCCCCCTCTCCCCTCCAAACAAAACAAAACTAACCAACCACCTCCCAGAGGTTCCGCCAATGCATCGCCAAACAAGTAAAACCAAAACTCAACGCCAACCAATTCGGCGCCCTGGTCGATTGGGCATTCAACGTCGGATGCGGCAACACGGAATCCTCGTCTCTCGTGAAAAGACTGAATGCGGGCGAGGCTCCGGATACGGTTGCCAGTCAGGAACTGCCTAAGTGGAATCATGGGAAGAATGGGGTGCTGCCGGGGTTGACGAGGAGGAGGGCTGCGGAGGTGGAGTTGTTTAGGAGTGCTACTGGGACGCCGGCTTGTTAGGTGAATTGTACTTGGTTACTTTGGAGAGATGGATGGAGAGATGGATGGGGTTGTGGAGGGATGATGTGGGATGAGAGATGTCTTGGTGGATTTGCTTTTTTGGTTTTTGACTTGCGGATTTCTACCATTATTTTAGAGTAAGATTGCAGACTTTTATATCTTACAATCTCACAACTTCGTGTGAAAAAGAAGCTACTGTATAACTACGGCATCCCGAATCTACTACTAAACCAGATGACTAAATCGCAAATCGCAAAAGTCACTTTTAAGGTTATTTTATAGGAAATCGCAAAGTACCTCAGGGTTAGGGTTATATACTAGCGCTAGAATTAAAGGTAAAACTACTCGATATAAGTAAACAAGCTTAAATTTGACTAGAATACTCCTGCCCTCGAATTTATCCTAAACGCTCCTACCCCTTGAATTTAACTCGAACGCTCCTTCAACTCCGCCCCCCTATTATATACCCCCGCTCTGGTAGCTAGAGGTTTTGTCGTAACGACCCCCGCGCCCCCCCTTCCCCCCGGGGCAAACAAATACCCCCTATCCCTTCTTATTATCGCTATCACTGTCGCTATCGTAGTTGTAAAGAGTTGTTCGTAAACCTAAAAGAAACAGAAAAGGAGAGAAAGTAGGAGAGGGAGAGAGGATAGGTAAGTAGCAAACAATTGTTAGCGTAACACGTGCTAGCCTAGCCGTTTTAGGAAGGTAGTATTCGGGGCTAGGGATAAGCGACACGCACGAAAATATTTCCCCGCTTCTTTCCCCTCCGCTACTTTCTCTCTCTCTCTCCCCTTCTCCTCTAAACAACTTACTAGGGCACAACCCTTATACGACAGTAAGGATACGACAGCGAAGGAGAGTGCGATAGCGAGGGAGGGTGCGAGAGTAAGGATGCGACAGTAAGGGAACAGGCAGTCAGGGTGTTTACGTAAAAATTCCTAGGCACGTGAAGTCTAAGGTGGGGGTGTGGGGGTGTGGGGGTATAGGCACTCTGGTACAGTAGTGGTAAATATATGACTTTTACGATTTACGATTTGCGATTAAGTCATCTGGTTTAGCAGTAGATTCGGGATGCCGTAATAACCCAAGAAGAGATCGTAACAATCCCATATTTTCACATAAAACAATATTCAACCATTATACAGGGGAAGTTTAAAAACCCCTCGGTCAATGTCAACTATGCGTTCTTAACGTAGAGGAGCATATCTTGATTTATATACACGCATGAGATTAGTTCACCGGACACGAGAGTATACCTACTCGAATAGAACGTCAACTTGGTATAAGCATCAGAATGCGTATAATGTGGTAAGGGTGATTGGCTTACAAGATTCTAATTATTAATCTAACATATAAGCAGACTACATTGCAGTCCTTTCACAGTTAACAAGTCCCAGCATCGCCTATCCACTCCACATCCATCCTTCACATCTACCAAACACAAAACCTTCCACCATCTCAACACCAACTTCCTCACTTCACGCCCCAACAAGCGCCTCAACCTCCCTCGTAATATCAATCCAAGGAAACACCGATCTATCCCCAGCCGCAGACCCAGGGAGCGGCGTATCCAAAAAGTTCTCCAACTCAACATACAAGCTCCCAGCAATCTCCACCGTCGCAACCGGCCACGTCGTACTCGTCGTCCACGGCCCAAGTCCCTGCGCCCAAGGGACCTGACCCAAGAACTCCGCACTCCTCCACAAGCCATCTCTCGATCTCAGGACCGCAACGCCAGCTGAGTCTTCCTGATGCTGCGCCACGAGAAGGACAGTGCCGTGGTACTTGGGAGGCAGGTAGATGGCGTCACTCCAGCCCAGGTCGGTGGGAGGGGAGATGGGGACATTGACTTGGACGCCTGTCTCAGCTCGCATGTCGAAGCTCCAAAGCTGTCCGCTGGCTCGGTCGTTGGAAAGGAGGACCCATTCGTTGGCTGCTAGTCCCTCGGTTCCGACAATGGAAGAGTTGATGGGTTGGGGTAACCACCACGGGATGAATTTCTTCCCATCAGGGGAGATTTTCAGGATGCTGGAGCCGAATGTGCTGACGACGTAGGTATTGCTGAGAGGATCATGGGTGATGTCTTGGAAGCCTCCGTATTGTCCCTGGGACGTCTCGGTCAAGTTGACCTGGTAGACGACTTGCCTTGTAGTTGGATCCCATTGGATGAGGTAGTTGGTTCCTGAGACGTCTGCACCGTTGGTGTCGAATGCTGCGGCGGTGTTGGGCATGATATTGATAAGTCCTGATCTTTTATCGACTTCTATCCCCGCCAAGTGGAAAGCTGCGTTATTAGCGATTCCCGGGAATTCGAGGGTATCGACTACTTTGGCACTGTACGGATCATAGACGACCACGGTAGCATTGTAGAGAGAGCTTTTTGTGGGATTCAAAGGTCAGTAAGTTATCCTTATTCTCTTGATCGTGCAACTCAAGGAGCTAAGCAGGATCGAGACGAACCTGATGTATAAAAGACACGATCTAGGATCAAAGTCCGAGTTCTCGGGGTATAGCTGATATTGATTGATGGTAAAGTTACCACTGAAAGGTTTACAATTGCCCTCCCCACGACTTGTCAAAACAGTACTTGGAAGCGCCGAAGCCAGTCCCACCGCCACCGTGAAAATAACAGCTACTTTGGAAAGCATAATGAGTGTTGTAGTTAGGACGAGTCGACGTCTTGAATCCACGGAAATATTACAGTAAAGAGATAAGTGAAAGGAAACTATCAGATAACTGTTTGGCATCCTTCAGCTTAAATATTCATCCCATGTTCTAAGCTGACCTGCCAATTCCCAACAAGAGGCAAACTCCAATACAACCCTTTTCAATCCAAACTCATACTCATATCGTAAGCTTACAAGAACGAATCCCTTTAACCCCGAAAATTCCGTGAACGAAAGACCTAAGAATTACCGGAGTTCCGCACAGTACTCGTACCTGAAGAAACATTCATAAAAAACCTTTTGTTGCCCACCGTGCCGACAGCATGACGTTATTCCCTTCTCTTTTAGGATATTATATCTAAGCTGGAGCCGCATTTGTACATACCCATGTTTCTGGCCAGCATAGTTCTTACTGCTGGATGCAGTGTCACCATACCACAGGTTGTTTATTACGGAATACATATAACCTATCTCCTCGAAACCTTGTGGACCTATCCGCAAGCTGATACGTATGCAACGGTGCCGTTCTACATGCCAAGTCTCAACCTCATGTCTGGTGATGAAAAGGTCCAAATACCAAGCTTAAGGGATACGAAATCTCGGAAGAAGAATATACGAGCCTTATTACGACTCTATTCCCTTTCTTCCCTGTTTATCTCGAGACCAAAATCTAGCACATCACATAATCCAATAATAACAGAAACTTAAGTGCCTTCGTATTACAACATACACTCAAAGAGTATTCAAGTCCAGGCATTCAAATTATTAGTAACACAGAGACTCTAATTATAATGTTCCCTCTCCGGCCAAGAAGTAATTACCAAGCATTGCAGCATCTATATATTCTGTGTGAGCCCAAAATCGGAAGTCAGACAGACAAGATACAAGTAGCCGAAGGAAAACCTACTCGTCACCGTGGCTATAGTAAAACCTGGATATAAGGATACTGGATATAACCTCGGTTGTATGATTATATCCTTAAATTTGGGGTAGTAATAATCAGTATTTGGGATGTCCTATATTAAGACGAAGAGAGAGAGAGAGAGAGAGATAGATTGGTATTGATAGCGTACTGTGTAGTACAATTTTATATTCACGTTCGTCCTGCTCAGTACTCACGAAGGAGGGGGCACATATATGGGAACAGCACCTGGGGTTTGGAGAGCCCCAGGGTGCCACACGCTCTTTCTATTCCTATTCCTAAAAACAGAAACAAAAAGGCTGGCTACAACAGTCGTTCAGTAGTACAAATGGTGGTGTACAAATGGGATTGGTGGTGGGCGAGAAAGAGAGAGTCTAGGGCTCTAGCGTATCCTGCTCTCGGGCAGGAAATATGAAGATGTTGATGATTCCTGCCCCACCGCTGGCTTATGTAGGTCGGTCGTCCTCACGTGATATAAAAACATCCCCTATAAGAATTGTGACACAACATCCAAAAAGAAGAGGAACACAATATAACACAGTGGAGCGCCTTAAGAAATCATTCATTCACTCAATCAATCATTCAATCATCCATTCATTCAATCTATCTCAACTTTTTATGCCCACCCGCCCAATTTTCAACATACCACCCCAAAAAAAGTAAAGTAAAGAACAAGAATCCATACACTGACTCACTCATTCATTAAACTAGAAAAAACAGCTACTAACCCCATCATCTACTCAACCTCGTCCTCTTCCTCTTCACCCTCAGCTCCTTCACTTTCCTCTTCCCCATCTGCCTCAGCCTCAGCCTCAGCTTCTTCACCGCCACCATTGACATCAATCAAGTTTACACCCCCCTCACTCTCCAGTTTCAACCATTCCTCCCACTCCGGGAACAACTCCTCATCCTCACCAGGTACACCCACAGTCTTAGCAACTCTCCCCTTCTTCTCCTTCTCCAAACTCTCTTTCCACGAGGCAACCGTCTTGACGGTAAGGCTTGGCTTATAGGTCTGAGAGAAGAGAACCGCCTCGGCCGAACGTCCAGTGCGGGAAAGGAGACCAATGCAACCCTCCACATCACCAAGAAGCCACAGGCATGTAAATGCAACATTGTGAGCCCCAGCTTCTTGAGCTTGTAAACTCAATGCCTGAAGACCATCTCTATCACCGGTCGAGGAGTGGAGAAGGAGCAGGGACCCGAGATCCTTGGCATTGGTAAAGCATTCCGCTGCCAACGCAACGTCCCACGCAGCCAGCGCAGCATCACCAACTGTTTTCCATTTGTGTTCAGCGTTGGCCTCTCGGGCCAGCTCCAGTGCAACCGGTAATTCGCCAAGAGCCAGGGACAGCTCAAATTTGTGCTCTGGGTCAGTGGCAACTTCCAGCGCCAGCTCTTTATGACCCTGGCCTTCCAGAAAACGAGCAATTTTGTTTAGTTGATCGGCAGGGATGGTAGGGAGAAGTTCTTCGGCCGATTCCATATCATCGCGGAGTACCAAAGTCTGATATTCGACAACAGAAAGCGAGAGAGAAAAGGAGGTAACGTTGACATCCTTGTCGGCGAGATATATTCTTGAATCGCGTTGAATATAACCCAAAAGATACATCGGTTGGTCAAAGTGAGAAATTGTATATGTTTGGTCACCGACCAGGTAATTCAGACGGTTGGTACTGTTTGTGTAGATGAAGCAGTCACCCACCCATTCTCCAGTCCGTACACTGTGACAATTAGCACGTTTAGAAACTGTAGGACGCGAAACACACATACCTCTCATTGATATCGGTCACAACTTCGAATGCAGCTTCAACTCCATCATCATCAACCTCACCATTCTGAACAGCGGCAATGTAGTTTTCTCTCGAAAATCGAAGAACGTAAAATGTATCTTCGCAAGCAATCGAGACTAACTCGCCATTTTCCGACCAGTAAACCTGAAGAAAAGTAATCAGCACAGCAATATTAAATTTGTAGATTTTGTGGTACGAACCTCAATAGGGTCAACTTCAATTCTTCGGATCAGACCACCAGTTTGCCAATCATAAAATCCGACACCACCTTGTCCTTTAACACCCAACAGAATACCACCAGTCAACCCCTCGGCCTGGAATCCAACATCAAGTCCACCAGGTTTCTCAACAAAGTTCTTGAAGATTTTGACGCTTGTAGCTGATTCGCGAATGGCATAGTCGTTGCTGTTCTCTTTCGAGCCCCATACAAAGTCCAGAGCAGAACCAAAAGCCTTGTTTCTCCAAGCAAGAGCAGTGTAGATGATAAATTCACCATCTCCACACACCGAAACGAATCGGCCATTAGGAGAATGAAGAAGTGTCTGAGGGTAGACTTCGCAGGTACCAAGATCTTTTGTAGGAAGGGATATTGGCTCATTGTCCTTCAAGGACGCATCTAGAAATCATTAACGTAAATTTCTGAATTGTGGTTCATGAATCTGCAACTTACCACCACCCTTGATAATTGAAGACACAACTTCGCTATGTCTTGCCCAAATCAATTTTCCTGAGCCGTCCATAGAAACTGCTGGCTCTTCTCGTCCCATCTTTACAACGACTGCACCCTCATCAAAACCAACACCAACACCCTGCTTACCCTTCTGATAGCTGACACACCAGGCTCTTTCAAGTCCATAATTTAGTGATTGCTCCAGTCGGTAGGTATTGGCGTGCCAGATCTTGACAGTTCCATCCTCGGAACCGGAAATAATGACTGGCAACTCTGGGTGATAGCAGGCAAACGAAACATTACTCGTGTGTCCTTCCAAGGTTGCGATCAAAGACTTTGTGGTGTAATCCCAAATCTTGACTGTTCGGTCGTCTGAGGTTGTGAGGAGGTATGGTTTGTCGGCTTGTGGGTAGTAGTCTACGTGGTTTACACCCTTGTGCTCGTGTGCTTCAAGCGTGAAGTTGGCGGTCGCAGAGCCCAAGCTCCAAATTTTGACTGTTCTATCCAAACATGCTGAGGCAAATGTGTTGGTGTCCTTGGGGTTGATTGCAAGACCCATAACATAATGGCTGTGTCCCTCGAAAACCTGAACGCACTTCCATCCTTTCTCCCAATCCCAGAGCTTTATTGTCATGTCATCGGAAGCTGTGAGTACGAAAGGTTGTGTAGGGTGGATCACGATCGCTCGAATGTAATCTGGGTGGGCTTCGAAGGAGGTAATTTTCTCGGAGGTGTTGTAGTTGTAAACTCGCAATTGGAAATCATCAGAACCGCAGACAATCCAGTTCTTCCTCGATATGAAGCGTCCAGCACGTACGGGAACATCTGTCAGTTCAAATGTCTTTACTATGGCCTAGAAGAGGTCAGTCGATGGCTGTGAGTGCTGGCAGAAGTCAGAAGTACCTGAGTCTCGTACGACCATATGTAGACATGACCTGGGGCTAATTAGCAACGTAGGAGAATTATATTCGGTGTTTGAAATACCACTATACAAAGTGGTCAAAATCCATGGCTCCACAGGATGGAAATCAATTCCCTTTACTCTTTCACTCCGCGCAAATAGCTGTCTCTGTTGTCGCAGGAATATTAGCACTTCTGAGAAACAATCGCCGTGGTCTGATAACTGGCGCAGCTGTTTGTGATCTGGCATTTTAATAGAGGGGCAGATTTGGCCTTCCAGGATATACCAAGATCACAATCTCTCCATTTACCTATACGGAAGTGACTCCAGACATACCTTGACGTCCAAACGCATCCTGAAAAACTACGCTGCATATGCCCAAGTAATGGCGAGGGGGTAGGGTATGGGAGGTGGCTTTTGCCTATTCGAAGAGGCCACGGTGAGCGGAGATATTCGTCGCAATCGTGGAAAAGTTTTAAAGGTGAAATTGGTAAGAGGGAGATGTATTTGGGAGAAGGAGCCCTCGAGTGCGCTGGGAGTATGCGAAGTGGTGGGTAGGAGGGTCAATGAGTGCAAGGCGTATTTGGATAATCGTGGTCTCTACAGAGCTCGAGGTTCAGGCCAGCGGATATCGCTAATTCCTAATCGGGACTAGTCTGGTTTAGAGCTTCACAGCATACAAGTTCTCTCCACTCACTTACCATAATTTCACGGAACCAAAAATGTTCAGGATTAATTGTTTCTTAGTATGCAATGAACTTCACGTTGACGGCTATTATACATTGTAAAGATCGTAAGTCATCACAAGAATTTTTCAAGTTCTTTTCATTCATCTTGATTCCCTGATCAAGACCAAATGTCCAAGCATGTTAACCCAACAATGCCTCCAAATATCGCCATAAAAACGCTCAAAAGTCAACCCTTTTCGCCTGTGAATTACCCGCAGAATCAATACCCCACTCTATGCATCGACCTGGACCTTCTTGACAACCTCAACCACATGAGGGAAGATTTTGTCCTTCGTCGTCAGACCACAAACCTTTTCTACCACCTGCTCTGGAGAATTCTCGGCCATGATCTTTGCGAGTTCAAAACTCTCTTCATCTCCCTCAACGTTCTGGAAACGGAATGCCATCTCAGCGGCATCGAGAAGAGCTGAGAATTCCTTGCCCTCTTCCGCGAGCTCAGTAGCCGGTGCGATGAATCGCTCTTTGCGGCTGAGTTTTCGAAGTGGTGCTCGACCGACACGCTCAACAGCATCCTCAAGATGAGGGTTGCCGATGCGGGTGATGATTTTGTTGACATAGTCCTGTTGTTCTTGTTCTTGGATTCCGTGTTTACCAACTATCATAGTACTCGTCTCAGCCAAAGCTTTTCGGACTTCGGCGATGATGACAGGATCTTGCAAAGCATCATAGACGGTGGTCTTTTGGTGGTAATATCCGTGGTAGGCCGCAGCGGCGTGGCCAGTGTTGACGGTAAACAGCTTTCGCTCAATGTATGGAAAGAGGTCATCGACCCATTTGATGCCATCAATAGATGGTACGGCATGGTCCTGGAATGGAGTTCGGTCAACGACCCATTCGTAGAATTTCTCCAATTTGACATCCAATCCAGCCTTTGGGTCTTGTGCAGGCACGATACGATCAATAGCCGAGTTGGCATATCGAGCGCGCTCATGGTGATCTTCTAATCGATCAGGAGAGGTGTTTTTCTCGTGCTTGACGTGTTCTGCGAGGGTATCGGTTGCGCCAATGGCGTTTTCGCATGCAATAACTGCAAGGGGAGTTGCATCATTGGGTCTCGCGTCGATTCCTTTGGCAATGACAGGAGCGATGAACTTGAGGATATTTGGGCCAACAGAGCAAGTTACAACATCCGCAGTTGTGATTTCGTTAATGACATCGGCTTCGTTTGTCTTGGAGTTTATCGCTCGGTAATTCATGATTGTGCTCTCCGAATTTCCTTCAGCGCCGACTTGGATGACTTTATATGACTTGTTGTTCTGGAGAGACTCGATCAGACCATCCATAACATCACAGAAGACGACTTCATAGCCGGACTTGTGAAGACTGTAGCGTTTGTTAGTATATCGCAGGGTGTTTGTCGTTCCCGAACAGCAGGAATGCCAGACAGTTTGACGATGGGGAAGATACATACAACTCAGCAACGAAACCTCTACCAATGTTTCCGGCACCGAAGTGAACCGCCTTTTTTGTTCCAACCATTTTGAATGTTGGTATGTTGTGGAACGAAGTTCTAGAATTTGTTGGGAATGTGGGGTCGCAATGTAGGTTCAATGTTGGGAGAAGGAGTTGAAGTAGGAAGTAGGAAGGTTTAGGTGTTGTTGGAGGAAAGAGGGCTCAGGAATGATTATAAAGTAGGTGGGATAGAGTTAGATGACTGGAAGAGTGGTAGGTGAATTCTTATCGGGGTCGTTGGGCGTATTTATATTCAGAGACAAGAAGCAGGAGAGAGGGGCCGGGCATTAGCGAAAAGGCATAATGCCTGTGAAATGATTGGATTGGAGGGGCCAGAGGAAGCTGACTTGTGCAACAAAGACTAGCCGGTGGAGGAAAGGGCCATAGGATAGCTTCGGTAGGAGCTCCGCAGAGGAAAGTATTGCCTCATAGGTGAGAAAATAGTAGTTTCTGGTTGGCTGGAAACATGGCTCCAGGGGCTAAGCATGATGCGGTCACATCTTCCGAAGCTCTGTGAGAGCGTTAATGCTACCAATGTGCAATGACGCAAGGGTTTCCGTTGGTGTAGAATCGTCCAGCCACCAGATCACCGAATTCTCAAGCGTTGCATTTAGTTGCTGAAACTGGCAATTTCGTCACCAGCCCAGAGAGACTAGAAGCACTAGCTTTCTATGCCGATGGATGTCTAATGTTTAGATCGGTATCGGTGTCTGTATCTGCACGGTACCAGTTGTACCACTATCTACTCCGTATTTGGTTCTGTCCTGTGGAGGTGGAGTGATATGCGAGAGAAAGGGATATGTACTACCTACGGGTCTGGTACCGTACTCTAGTCTGCACCAAGACAGTCAAACCAGTGGAAAAATGGAAGATTTGACGCATACCAGAGCCGTCACCGTCTAGAATGGGCGCAGACTCGCAGAGCAGAGAGAAAACGATGCATCCCCTGGCCAGGCCCGTCGGTGGTATTGTTCCGATTTGAAAAGCAAAGCGAATAGTTCCATCTATTTTGCGCTACGCTGCCAGGTCCCCTCTCCCCCTCTTTTCTTTCCCGCAATCCACCCGTCTCCAGACCCCGCCAACACCCAACCCACGGTGCGCAGAAAGGTTGATGCGCGATACCCGCCTGGTTGGCTCTCCTATTTCTCCCCGCCTACTCTATTTACATCGGCTCTGAGGAGAATGTGAAGACACGGATTTTCTCTCTCGATTTCATTTCGTGTGGTAAGATATGAGGCTTCATATCTATCTTGATAATGAACGGCCACGGCCTTTCTCTCGAGTCTCGCCGAGCTCCAAGGTTCTCAGCAAAACAACCGGTGCAGCGGCAGTGCCTCCTTGGGAAAGATAACATCCGTCAGCCTCTGCCTCTCTCTGTCTTTGCTCTGCCACTATCGTGAGGTGCTCCACTCAGTCCGGGGGCACAAGCATGTGTAAATGGACTGCGTCTCGTCTCGTCTTCGTCCCACGGTACCTTGCCAATGACACGATACCCTCAAAAGCAGAGGTTGCCGGGTGCCATGCCCTCGAATCACACACCATGTCTAGTCATGGGAATGGCTTCGAAGTGTTTCCAGAGACATGACACATCCCACTTAAGCGACGATACTTTAGTCATGATTATACTTCATATTTTTTCCCGCAATCCAACATGAAATGAAAACTCGAGAGTCAACTGCACTACAATTGCTTCAAAAGCTTGATCTGTTTTAACAACAAAATAGGAGAAATATACATCTGGGTTTGCTGTACAGACTACATGGCAATCTCAACATGTCCACCTGTCACCCATCCACAAGTTCCATATCGGCCCGCTAAAGCCGACTTGGACCCGATCGATGCCATGCGCTGCGCTGCATGTCGTGAGAACGAATGTGACAACATTATTAACACCTGGACCATCCATCCATTTCTCCCCAACCAGCCAAACACGCACGCACGCACGCAGTTGTCCTCCGGCCCGAGGGAACAAGAAACAAACATTTTTCCCACGCCATGCCAGCATCACATTTCCTCCATCACATCGCATCGTGAGTTGCCAGTGGAGCTTCACGGTTGGGCACTCATCGCACTGCCGCACCCAAACAAGCTCTTTCCGAGATCCCCCGAGACCACCTTTATATGTCCTTAGGTTAAAGGAGACATCTCGACTCATGTACCAGTACTCGCATATCTAGGTATTTCCAAGACCTGGTCTCGTGAGATAGGGAAGCACGCCGTCTACGTATTCTACGAAAGAGCATTTCCTCACTACGAGTGATGCGATCTATTTTTACAGTCCACTGCACACCGCAAAAATGAGATAATTCCTCTGGAGATCAAACAAACGACTACGTAGTCTACCGGTACGAGTACCGACTCCAGGACTCGTTTAGTATTTTACACTCACCCTCACTGACGAGGCTCGCGAGGTTACCCCATCACGTGTCGTTTCGTGGGGAGGAGGTGGCTCGGTGGATATCAAACGTCACGTCCCATCGCTTCCTGCTACCAGCTGCTTATATTTCGTATTTCGTATTTTTATCCTGATCCGTGTTTCTAGCTTTACTTTATTTGGTGCTCGAGTTTGCGAGCGAAATATAATGTTTGGGGCTTCGTTCCCGGATCTCTATATTTACGAGTCTCGTCTATTTTCTACCTACTTATATATCTACGGTCGCGGTAAGCGATAAATGCCCGGGGTAATTACCCGTTACTAACTCTATAATATATACTCGAATTCCAGCCAACCAGATGCCGGGAATTCTTACTAGTATATGTTCGAGGGACGCGGTGTAACGAATACTCAAACTGGCTAACTAAACTTGGCTGGGTGTTCGCTGGTTGGTATGCTATGATAAGAAGAAGAC